AATTTAAACCACCTCTAATGCCATTCTATTGTATGTAGACTATGGCCAGAACACGAAAATTAACTTTTGAGCAAATTTCATTTGAAAACACGAAATTTTGAACCCTCGAAAATTTGAACGTATACGGTAAGGAAGCATCTATTATCAAGTAATAGTTCAGTAAAAGGACTTTATACCATCATTATCCTACTTTGCATAATGATAGGCATGACAATTTTTTGGAATACCATCTTGTCTTGTGACAAGACTATGCTGATATTTACTAATCCCAAAGTTCACTATGAACGGCCATGAATGACAATGAACGCTTTTGTTCTAGTTGCTGCTCTCCTTTGGTCTATGTCCTGGCAGTTTGGCAACTGAGGATAACACCGACAATGTTCTGTTTTCACTTTCAGTGAACATATGTCAAATTATGTATATATAGAGACTGCAGCTGTGTAGTGTGTCTACTGCATTCATGCGTGTTAGTTTATTAAGATGATCAAACTTTTGCTGCTATATATTTTCTTTGTCTGCTACAGTATAACTACTGCTCGGCAAATCATCATCATTAATATTCAAAATGGGACCAATTCTTTACACTGTCTTGACGGCTGGGTTCCTTGCAAATCGTTAGAGTTTGTGGCAAAAAATGGTAAAAACGATACCATTCTTGAAATCAAGTCTCCTCTAGTTAATGTTACAACTAGAATTACATTTTTTCGACTTCAGAACATTACCATAAGAGGAGATGGAGCTAAAAATACAACACTAACTTGTGCAGATAATGACAACAATGGATCAATAGAGTTCCACAGAAGCACAGGAATTACACTCTCTCAACTGAGCATCACAGGTTGTGGTACAATTTTTAATATGCCTCTCAGCAAGGCAAAGGTGAAGGTCAGCACAGCTTTATACTTCAATGAATGTTACCATGTAAGCATTAAACAAGTAACCTTCAAAGATAACAATGGATTTGGAGTATACTTTATGAAATCAACCAACTTGAATGTTAGTCAAAGTCGTTTGGACAGCAACTATTATCGACCAAAAAAGGATTCCAGATATTTGACAGTTGGTGGTGGAATGTTTGTGTATAATAATGAGACACAGTCAGAGCCATATTTTCATAGGCGGCTGCAGGATTTGACTACTAGTCGGGCATGGGTGTGGCACAGGAAATGGGTTGGGCGCGCGAAGCGCGCCGCGATTTTGGCCACACCCTCTTTTACGCACCCTTTTTAGCACAATTTTTTGGTAGCGAAGGTTATTGTAATAAAGTAGTGGGTGGTGTAGCTCCAACACTGACTTCTGTAGTGGTAATAGTACTAGTAGTAGTATTAGTAGAGGAAGTAGAAGAATAGGGTGATGGAGAATGAGCAACAATTGACTGTACATCAACTGTAGCTGTAAAAACTGTAGCTGTATCAACCACAAGAGTAGACTGAGACTCATGATCATCAACTCTCAGCAAGAAACTGACCTAAAGTAAGAATTATGAGATAATCTGTATTATTGACTTCTATACTGTACTTACTAGGTTCACTTTGTAAACTGTTGTTCCTTTTTAGCAGGCTTGTTCACAAAGGACATAGTGAAGCTAGTCCAGGCTTTTAGACATTGCAACTGACAAGAAAAGAACACTGAAATAGCACTAAATAATGAAATGATTATGCTTTCTAGTGTTGCTGTGGTGGCCCACTGTGATTGGCACCAAAGTCTTACCACCTCGAGCTCCTCCTTTATTTAGTCTCTCTTCATCACCTTGTTATCAGCCTGCCATTTATGCATTCATAATTATAAGATTTTCATAAAAAATTGAAATTATAATTGCAATAACTGTTATAACTATAAT